CCCCAAAACCCCAAAACCCCGTCTAAGAATAATTGCTTCTACTTCGCATAATTGCTCAAATTGATAATTAATTATTAATATAAGTAATTTCTAAAGAATTTAATCATATTAAACATAGAATAAATTAAGTTTAGATTGCAATGAACTCTCCTAACTAATAACAATAAACTCAAAAAATTTCTGATACTATAGATTTCTCTAGAATATCCTTGCTCAAATCTTTGTTGTAATTGGGTTTCCCAGTTATTATTTAGCAAATTATGAATTATTTCAATCAGGCAGTAAATATTTATTACGCTGGTTATGATCCAAATCCAGCAGTAGTGGCTGGAGTTGGTCTGGGAAGTACATTTATTAACGTTATATATTTCGGATTAATTTTTGGAATGAATAGTGTATTATAATCCCTTGTAGCATAAAGCTTTGGAGCAAATAACTTGAGATAATGTGGTATTTATGTAAACAGAGGTCGATTAATCATGACAATATTTCTTCCTGCTGCAATTTTTTCCACTTTGATATTAGATAAGATTCTTATTGGTATTGGAATTGATAAATAAACTGCTAATTTTGCATAAATTTACATTTCGAGATGCCTTCCAGGGCTGATTGCTTTGTCTTATTTTGATATTGCAAGATAATACTTAGTTGCTATTAACAAACCAGTGCTCATAACTTATATTCAGATAATCACAGGAATCTTACATATTGCTTTATGCCATTATTTCATTGGAATATGAGAACTACCATTTTATTATACTAGTTATTCAACAAGTCTTTAGTTTTTTTTAAACTTTTTTCTTATTCATCTTATTCTGTATTTTGATAATTAATACAAAGAAACCTGGTTTCTAGGAGGAAAAGAAACATTCTACAACCTAATTTTGTATGTTAAGCTTGCGATTCCAGCTGCTACTTTATAGAGCCTAGAATATTTCGGCTTCGAAATTTTGTGTATCGCTTCTGGTTTTATATCTGTTACTTCAAACGCTGCACAAGTTATAGTATCAACAGTAAATTCTATTTATTTTATGATTCCCGCAGGACTTGGTATGGCTACTACTACTATCATTGGCAATTTAATTGGTTAATAAAAAAGCAAGCTTGCTTTTGCGTAAAATAATTTCATTGTGAAATTCAGTTTCTTTGCTGGAACAATCACATGTCTCTCTTTATTGTCATTAAGAAATATATTGGCTCATGCTTTTACATAAAATGATGAGGTCAAGTAAATAGCATCTGATGCTATATCCATATCTTTTTTTTCTCATTTCTTAGACTTTGTTTATTGTATAATGACTGGATCAATCAAAGCATTAACTAAGTTTAATTAATCGATTGCTGCTGGGTTCATTGCATTTTATGTTATTGGATGTCCTACCGGTATCTTTCTTGCTCTATATATCAAAATGGGAGTTCCTGGTCTTTGGATTGGACTAATTTGTGGGTAGCTGGCAGAGACAATTTACTATTATTACCTATTAAATTATGGATTCAATTGGGAGATGATAACATTAGAATGCTTTAATAGACAAGAAGATGATTTAAAGATAACACTTGAAAAAGAACGATTATTAGGAATTATTAAGTTTGATGACGAAAATGAAAATAAAATACATTAAGATTCTTGTGATATCGAGATGAAATGATAAGAGTGATATTATGAGATCAAAAAATCAAAATGCTTAGATAAATAGACTTGGACTTTTATATCATAATTGAGATTTAGATTAAAGTTTTTCATCTTTAATGATTACCAATAAAAATATAAATTTCTACTAAAAATTTTTAAATTCCTTAAAATGATAATTCTTGCAAAATGGGGTTTTGGGGTTTTGGGGTTTTGGGG